TTATCCAGTTTTCAGTTCTGTCTCAGGGGTAATTTTTCCACGAGTAGTTGTAAATTGGCTGTGTCCACGGGAGGAGGTGAGTTCAGAGTCTGCTTACGCCGCCATCTTGACTCCACCCCTCTCCCCATAAGGGTATTTCTAACGCTGCTTCCTTCTCAGGTCATCTGGTCATGTCTGGTCGAAGCTATGATTCTCACTAACCCATCGCTATGCCCTTAGAATAGTAGCCCCAGTTCCAGTCATCCAAGCTCCTAAAATCCAGGATCAGGCCCTCAGTGTCCTAGTCTGCCCCCCAACCTCTGAACGGGGCGACAGTGGGGCTGTCCCTCCTGGAGGACAGGTGGGTCTCCAGTCCATTCCATCTAAGCCATGTGTCAAGCACTGCAGGGAGGTGGGCTCAGGGCAGAAGAAATAACCGTTTGATCCGATGAAAGGGACAGCTTTGTGGGCAGGAGCCAGGACACTGGGGTCATTCCTGAGAAAGTGAAAGGGCCACACTCATATTCTTAAAAGTGAAAGACACGTTATTTTAAATGTACCATGTTTTAAAATGATTACACTTAACATTCATGTCTGTTTTTCATTTTGCTATATTTCAGTTCTCCACCACCAGGAGTGTTCCTTGAGAAGGACTATGAGATTTACCGGGATTACAATGCAGATGGCCAACTTCTTCACTACAGGTAGAGCCCACTGTCTCAGCTTGGCCCTGTCTCCTGTCCCCAGGGTGGTTTTCTTGGCAGCTCTTGGATGAGCTGGAGGAGAGTCTGGCTCAGTAGGAAGCAACTAGTTGGATGTGCACAGCGTGCAGGGCCCTGCACTGTCCAGTGGAACCTGAGGAGAGGCTGTTGGGGCCACTGTCCTGGGCCAAGGCCTCCTGGAGTGGCCCCCAGGCTCACGTGGCAGCTTTTGGTCCTGGAAGAATCTTGTCACTGCCTAGTTTGGGGAGACGTGGAGCTCACGGCGCTGCCCCCAGTCCCTGGAGGAGGAGTGAGGTCCTGGGAGGTCCTCAGCATGTGGTATCCCTGGGAGCTCCCAGCTATACGTCGGAGTGCTTCCCAGGTGAAGTCGGGAAGATGGGTGTTAGTCGTAGGGAAAAGGAGCAGACTTTGGTCTCTCTTGGTCTTGGGCTGTCCTTGCAGGATGTTGGAAGGTTCTGGGGATGACCCTCAAGACCCTGGGGTACAGCAGCTATCAGGCTGGGCAAGGGCCATCCCTCAGCCAACTTGTGTGTCTAAGTTTGAGCAGGAGCCTCCTCTCGCAGCTTGGGGTAGCTAGGTGGAGTGCTGTGCCACTGGGAGGCCTGGGTGCCCCCAGCACATACCAACAGGAGTGATACCAGTGGTGGGGAGGAATTTGAAGACCTGAGGGGCCTTTGGTGGTTTGCTCAGACAGTTTAAAGATCAAGCTTGGAAGTGGTAACTTAGATTTGTTGATGAGGAAGGGAATCTGAGCCTACCCGGGGTCCAGCAGTGTGGCTGTGTGACTGGGCATGTTTCATGGCCTCCCTGTGCTTCCAGGTGTGGGCAGCTGACTGGTGGGGCCTGACCACACCACAGCAGGACAGGCCACGTCCCCCGACTTGATGTTCCCCATAGATTGAGCAGTGCTCCAGCAGGCGGCCCATCAAAGGCACCTGCGCCCTGTGGGGTGCTCGTGCCCACCTGGTCTTTGTTGGCCTGGTGCTGCATGACCCTGCCATCTGGGTGCCGCTTGGGCTGGACATGGGAACAGCACGTTGTTGTTTCATGAGTGGAAGTGCTTACCCAGGCAGAGTGGGAAGAACAGAGAGGCTAACGTTTATGGACAGACTAGGGAAGACACTCCCTGTCCCAGGCACTGGAGACGGGGTTTGTGAGGAGGAGGGGAAGCAGGGAGGAGCTTGTCCAGGCCTGGCCCATGCTGCCCGCCAGGGTTGTGCGCTGAGCAGGGCAGGGGCTGGAAGCCTCAGAGGCTGTAGGGCAGGGATGGCAGTGGGGATACAGCCTGGCACACAGCCTGCCCAGCCCAGGCACGGGGGGCATCAGTGGACCTGGTTTGCAGGCAGTCAGAGAACTGGATAGTTCAAGTTGTTTTTCAAACATAACTTCAGACGTATGATTTCTTCTTGTTCCACGTGAGTGTGCCTCTGTGAGTCGCACTTACAAGCTTTAGTGCAGAGGTTTTCCTCTGAAACTCTTGGCGTCAGGTCCAGGGGTCCTCTTGCTCCTTCCAGGTGTCCACACAGAACAGCTGCGTCCCTGAGGAGGTGGCAGCAGAGCAGACTTCCTCCAGCTTTGGTTTTGTGTGCAGTGGTCTCTATTCTTCTTTAGGCCCTGGGAGAGATGCCCTGAGCTGAGTGGAGCCCTCTGTCCCTGCTATCTCCACGCTGCTTCTGCCCTGCCCACCTGACTTCCAGCATCTCCAGAGATAGTGGAAGGTTTTCCTCCTTCCCTCCTGGTTTGAAAGAGTCTGCTGAACAACTGTATCAGGCAGTCATCCCATTTTATTTAGGGATGGGTGGTGTCTCTCTGCCTTGTCTTTCTGCCACCCTAGCAGAGTTGACAGGGAATTAGAGAATAGGTGAGGAGAAGGACAGGCTTCCTGGGTTTGAGGAGCCATAAAGAGACAGAGGTCGAGGGCAGGCCAGGGAGGTGGGACTGGAGGGAAAGCGCAGCCACAGGCAGCGGGGCCATCAGGCCACTCATTGATCCCGGAGGGACAAGCTTAAGAGACTCTGGATGAGAAGCAGACAGCAGGGCCTGGAAACTGGATGTGAGGGTTTGGGAAGGGCTTTCAAGAAAAGGGCAGAGCAGTGGGGTCAGGTGGAAATGCGGGGCATGGGGCTCTGGAAAGAACCCAACGGGGCCCAGCCTGGGGATGAGAGATGACGCTGCCTGCACAGTGAGTGGGTGGATGATGCCCAGAGGGACAGGGTAAGGGAGATGGCCCATCAGACCAGGAGACTCGCTGGACGCCCATCATGGGTGGGCCCCACTTGGCTGCCAGGCATCTGCTCTCCGTGACTGAGAGCTGTCTCTGGGCCCCTGAGGGCTTGTTTCCCCATCTGTGACACGGAGCCTGTGACTCAGGTGCCCACATAGGCCTCGGACCTGTCTTGAGAATCGAATGAGAGACTTCTGTGGAGGTGCTCCGCACACAGATGTGCTGCAGCACTGGCCTCTGCCCTTCAGCCCAGGGGCGCCGTCTACAGGGCGGAGGGCAGGGCTACAAGTCTTCTTTCCTCCTGCCTCATCCTCGCCCATCTCTGCCCTAACTAGATGGAACTACTTTTGGGTCCTGGAGTAGATGTGTCCTCTGACCAGCAGGCCTCTCATGTGCTCTTGACTCTGCCTGACACTCTCTCCCACCTTCCTCACCCCGCAGCACAGCCTCGATGGCCCACGGCTGACAGGCCAGTGAGGCACCTCCTCAGGCCACAGCTCCCAGCACCCTTCCCCAGGCAGGGATCCTTCTTTATATCGCAGCCCCTGCAGAGGGCCTGGCATGGAGGCTGTGTCACTATCTGCTGAGTGGGGGAAAGATGCACAGAAATAATGGTTCACAATTACGGAGTGTGTCCTGTATATCGGTACTGAGCTAAGGACTTTATTATATGCACATTATGTTATTTAATCATCATAAGAACCAATGAGGACACTGAGACAGAGATGGTAAGTGATTTTCCCAAGCTCTGCCACCAGGCAGCAATGGGCTGGAGTTCACTCCCAGGTTTCTTGGACTCCAAAGCCAGTCTTCAGGGTTTCCTGGCCCTGGCACACTAACTGCCACCCTTCTCTCTGCCTGGCTGGCCCTGGGTGGCAGGCCTGGAGCAGCCTCCAGCAACCAAGAGTAGAATTCCTGGGAATGGGAGCCTGCATTCTGAGCCCTGCTGCCACCTCTTCTTGGGGTGGTGAGGCCAAGCTCCTGGGCAGTGTTATCGACCCCCAGGGTTTGATCCTGGCTGTGCTGAGTGGGCCATGCGCCCAGCACACTGGAGCAGGCTGCCACACAGCCAGCATGGGGGCCCTCTCAGTCTCACCCTTATCTTATGTCACTGACCCTTGATCTTCAAATCCTGTCTCACCCACCCCCAGTAACTGGGACTCGTGGCCTTGTCCAGAAAGGCCCAGTGACAATCAGAGGATGGAGGCAGAGGGACCAAACTACACAACTGGTTTCTTTTTTGTGTGTGTGTGAGAGAGATCAGCCCTGAGCTAACATCCATTGCTAATCCTCCTCTTTTTGCCAAGGAAGACTGGCTCTGAGCTAACATCAATTGCCAATCCTCCTCCTTTTTTTTCCCCAACGCCCCAGTAGATAGCTGTATGTCATGGTTGCACCTCCTTCTAGTTGCTGTATGTGGGACGCGGCCTCAGCATGGCCGGAGAAGCGGTGCGTCGGTGCGCGCCCGGGATCCAAACCCGGGCTGCCAGTAGCGGAGCACGCGCACTTAACCGCTAAGCCACAGGGCCGGCCCACAACTGGTTTCTTGAGACACTTGGGATTTTCACTTTCTGCCATGGTGGATTAACTTATCTGAGACCAGCCTGTACACTGAGAACAAAATAGACAAGATCATCCTGAAGTCATCAGAGATCTACTGAGGAGTGAGGACTTGAGGGCCAACGTGTAGAGATTGGTGCACCTTGGCATGCATGTGACACTGCCTCTCCCTCAGGACAGTCGAGAGGCTGAGAAGCTGAGCAGACCTTTGGGTGGTTCCATGGGGCTAGAGGTCCAAACAGCAGAGTTCAGGAACCATAAAGAAGAGTTCTAGTTAACACTCCATGTTTCCACTTGGACGCCTGAAGGGCTACACCTAGGAATAGGGTGAGCCATAAGTAGACCAGCCCTCAAAACATAAGCCCAACTTCAATCAGCTCAGTCCCAGATGGGGTCCAAGTGATCTGCTCTTACCCCAACTGCCTGCCAGAAAAAGTAGACCCAGGGCCTCAAATTATCTCTACAGTTTTTCATACACAGTCACCAGAATTTTAGTCTAAAATTACCAGAACTGATTAAAAAGAAAAAGAGACAATAGAAACAGGCCCACATGAGATCTATATTTTAGAGTAATCAGACACAGACTTTGATAAATATGACTCATATGTACAAGATATTAAATGGCAATTTTTAAAAATCAAATAATTTCACCAAGAGAGATCACATTCTGGGCCATAAAAACACACCTTAACAAATTTAAAAGACTAGAAATACAATATCTGCTTTCAGACCATGATGGAGTTAAACTAGAAATCAGTAACAGATAGCTGGAAAATCCCCAAAAACTTGGAGATTAAACAACATACTTCTATATAACACATGGGTCAAAGAAAAATCACAAGAGAAATTTTAAAATATTTTGAACTAAATAAAAATGAAAACACAACTTATCAAAATATGTGGGATGCAGCAAAAGCAGTACTTAGAGGGAAATTTATAGCAGAGGATGCATATATTAGAAAAGGAGACAGATCTAAAATCAATCATATAAGCTTTCATTCTCAGAAACTAGAAAAAAAGAGCTAATTAAATTTAAAGTAAGCAGAAGAAAAGAAATAATAAAAATTACAGCAGGAATCAATGAAATTGAAAACAGGAAATCAATAGAGAAAACAAAATGAAAAATGGGTTCTTTGAAATGTTCAATATTTTTGTCTGGATTCTTCCACTCAGTATATTATTTCACTCAGCATAAATA